AACTAAAAATAAGACTAAAAGCATATATTTCTTGAGTGCCTACTATGTGACAGGCCCACTGTTATAAACTACTTTGATAGTAATGATGTAGAATAATTATTACAACTTATTTTAAAATAATGAGAGGGTTTTCTCAACAAAGGTACTATAATGTATATATAAATATGGTTTGCAGGGATTCTGCCCTCAGGTTGCCTAAGACATAGATATCAGTATGACACAACAAGACAGAATTGTGTAAGAGTAGGAGAGGTATTTAAAAAGTACCATGGATTTCAGAAGCAAGAGAGAACATTGAGAGCTGGAGAAACCAGAGAAGCCTTCACGGAAAAGATGGCATTGAGTTGGGTGCTGACGACAGGGAGTGATGATTTCATTGTCCATATAACAATGTTTTATCAGAAGATTTTCTCATGCCGTTTTTTTTTTTGTTTCGTTTTTGTTTTTTAAATCTAATGACCCTGTGAGACAGGTTGGGGAGGTACTATTGATCTCAGTTTCAGTTAAACAAACTCAGACTTAGAGATCAAGTTCCCTGCCCAACATTTGGGTGGCAAAGCCAACGTTGAACTCGGGTCTTCTGAGAGTTTGGTTCATCCTCTGCTCCATGGTATACCCACCCAGAAGAAAAGTTCTTCCTTCTATGAGAGAGAGAGAGAGAGAGACAGACAGACAGACAGACACACTACTGATGGCCCATTTCTACCTTCAGATCTTTGCAAGAGAATGGGCTATTTCTTGCCTTTCTGGCCACTGAGACTATCCCACAAGGCTAACATGTTTATTTGAGTTTCCTGCATATGGAAATGCGAACCAGCAGAGTGGAGATTTTTTTAACGGCAATTGTTTAAATTCGCCCTGTAAAGGTCTCCAAGTATGTATGTATGTATGTATGTGTGTGTACATAATTTATTTTCAAATTTTTTTAGATAGAGCAGAAGGGAGGGAGGGACACAGAGAGAGAGAAACATCAATGTGAGAGACATATTGATTGGTTGCCTCCTGCACAACAGGGATCAAACATGCAACTCAGGTACATGCCCTTGACCAGGAATCAAACCTGAGATCCTTCAGTCTGTGGGTCAATGCTCTAACCACTGAGAAATCCAGCCAGGGCTCAAAGTATCTTTTATAAATACTGTACTAAAAAATGCAAAGGGCATAAAAGTTACAAGGATAATATTGACTGCCTCAAATGTATATCACCTGAAATTATTTAAAATGCACCCCAGACCTTGGAGGGCAAAATAAGAAAGCTGTACTTACTCTTGGTGGGGATCAGCTCCCCAAAAGGATTCTGAGGCTATTGCCAGGAGCCTCCTTGTGACCTGGAGGAGAACACCTACTCACACACTTCACCTGGCTGAGCTTGACCCACAGAGCCCTGTCCTCCTCATTCCTTCAGGCACAGGGTAGTTTATCTGACACACACTCACTGGGCTCCTTGCCTTAGGGCTTGTCTATGCACTAACCACAAGGCTAAAGTTCACCTTTCTGTAGGGAAGAAACATATTACCAAAGGGATTATAGGGCCTCTACATTTTGCTGCTTTTTGTCCCACCCTTTTTGTCCACTGCTAACTTAAATAAGATGATGCCATTATGAACATCAATTTAATCAACCAAATAGTTTCCGAATGGATACTATGAATGTGCTCAGCACGAGAGGGTCCTTTCTTCAAGGAGTTTACAGTCAGGCAGGTAACTTAAACGTTCCTCACTGGCACAGCTGGAGAGACTGCTTTCTCCTTTCTGCGTTCCAGCTTTCTCACCTGGATAATAGAGAGTGAATTTCTCCAGCTATTAAGCAGTTATCATCAAATATTTATTGAGAGGTTACCTTGTGCCAGGCAATAGACTTTGCAAACATCATCACATCAGATCCTCAAAACAACCCTGTGAGGCAGCCACTCTCATTATCCTCACTTTGTAGGTGAGGAAACGGGGGCTCAGAGGGTTCAGTGACTTGCCACAGTCTGTCAGCCAGTAACTGGCAGAGCCAGGATTCAAACCCGGGCAGTCTGGCTGAGTGCCCCTGCCCTTAAGCACGGTGGTCACAGCCTGCCTGACCCAGGCCCTCTGCAGGAAGGAATGTGGAAAGCAAAGGAACAGGGTGCTTATAAACAGTTTTTAAATCATCTGAGACAGATTCCTCCACATCCAGCGCCACACCAGGCAACAAGAACATCCAGAAAGGCAACAGGAAAGAAAGATGATCTATGCAGGGAGGCCAGAGGCCCTTTCAGGTCACAGTTACTCCAACCCTGAGATTTCAGAGCAGACACACCAGGTCTCTAGCCTGCAGTAGTCCCACATTTCCTCCGAGATCTCCAAGCTCCTTTCCCCCGAAACTGTCTCCTGTCTCCGACAGAGAGCAGACAGGGAAGCCAGGTGGGGCTCACTTTCCCAGTACAAACAAATGGCAGAGTCCAAAGGGAAATGTTCCTGTCTAATCCCCCAGCTCCCCTCTTTAAGCCTCACTCTATTTTTAAGGTCCCTCCTTAACATAGCACATGTCTATCTATTTAAGAAGACAGGAAACCCCAATGTGTGGAATTGAAAGAGGGGTTCTTGCTGAAGGTTTCCCAAGGTGCTACAGTTTGATAACGCTCTCCTCATATCTGCTAAAGAGCGCGGCAAATGTTATCATCTGAAAGCACCCGGGGCAGGGGTACTCCTAGTTCTAAACACTGCAAATGGGCTACCCAGAAGCTGCCCCTGGACAGCACGTCAGCGCCTCACCCTGTAATCAGGCTGAGCTGCCTGCTAAGTAACTGTGACCACATTCCTCTCTTGATGAGACCTGACTCCAAATAGCTTGGCAAGGGCAAGGGTCAGCAGGAGCTGCCAAGTGCCTGTCGTTCCCAGGGAGGTGTGTGTGCGTGGCCGGGGTGGTGGACACACAAGCCAGGGTAGGTTATCTGAAAGGTATGGAGGAGTGAGTGGCCACTGCAAAAATCATCTGTTAGCAATTCGCAAAGGCTTGTCACGCCTCAATGTTCCCTAGTCCGTGGCAGCAATACTCCTCCATTCAGCAAGGGCTTGAGCCAGCTTTCGGAAAGAACAGGAGGGCAACACGCAGGGGATTTAGTGCCAGAAATAGTAGACTGAGGTGATTTTGATCTGGGAAAGTGAACCCGGCAGTGCTGCCCAGTGGTTAGGGGCACCGAGCGTTAAGCTGCCTGAGATTGACTCCAGACAGCCACTCACTAGCTGTGTGGCCTTCGGCCATTTATTTAAACTCTTCAAGCCTCCATTTCTTCATCTATAAAGCAGAGTTAATAATAGGCATCACCTCACAGCACTGCTGTTTGGATCAGATGAGATTATATATTTAGATGCTTGCGGAGTGCCCGGCGCGGAGCGCAGCGCTGAATGTGTGCGGGCCACTAAGACAGCGCAGCCTGCTGCCGCCTCCTCGGCTCAGAAGGAACTGTCTGCCTCTCTGTGCCTTCCTCTCTCCAGTTAAAAACAGCAACTATCTCCTCCTCTGCTTGTGGCACTTAAAAGTAGGGGACATGTAGACATTGAGGGGCTTTTTAATCATCAGAAATGTTATCTAGTGTTTCCACAGCATCTACCCAGGTACCAGGCATCCTGCCCTGTTTTGGGTATCTGGAGATCGCCTAAACGTTGAATGGCAGATCCTTTCATTGAAACCAGCAGCCTATACATGGACACTTCTCAAGGCTCCGGTGGTCCAGGAGCAGACAGGGGCAACCTCCTGATGTCCGAACTCCATCTCCAGAGAGATGCCCAGGGAAGGATGCAGAAAGGTCTCACTGCTGCTGCTTGGGATTCATCCTGCGACTCCCTCTTCTTTCCCTCCAAAGAAAGAGAAAGATGTTTTGCTCCACTGGAGGAAGAAAACAAATCAGTGTCTGAATGTTTGCCACCAGTCTTCACAACAAAGCAGTGACGTCCTCGCTTTCTCATTTCTCCTTGGCCACAGCCCCATCACAGTCCCCGACTTCTCGTGCTGGGAATGAAAGGGGTGGCAGGGACACTCCACTGAGAGTTAGTACAGTTCCGGGCTTGCTCTGGTGGCGGCCTTCCCGGGGTGAAGGGCCCCAGCTGTCCAGCCGGCCTGAGGAGCTGAGCTCCGGGAGGAGGGCTGCACAAGGACTGTGCCTGGCTCACCTCCGCAGATCCCCACCGGTCAGCCGCAGACCAGGAGATCTCCACATTCATCCTGTCGTCTCTCAGCCTTTGCTCGTGTCCCTTGACCCAGACTCTTCTACCACCACCACCCCTCCGCCACCTCCAGCCCCCCCTCCCAGAACGAAGCAGCGTTTTAGCCAAGACAGGACCATGATTAATTTGGTGTGCTTCCTTTCCACCAGACTAACATGCTTTATTTGATTGTTTTTAATTATAAAAGTGACATAGGCCGGGCCTTTAGAAAAATCCCAACAACAACAAAAAAGAAAATCCCAACTGAAAAAGGCTGCAGTTGAAAGCCAACAAAAGCAGAGTGAACCCACCCTCAAAACAGCACACCCACGCGGAGCGGAGAATCCTCGCAGGGATATGTGGTGGCTGTGCCCACCCAGAGACGCTTAGCAGGAGTCCCAGTATAAAAATGATGGGCCAGAAGAGCTGACCTTGCTTTCTTCTTACAGTTGCCCTTGACGGTCAGTGAACGAAGGCCCTCCGGTGGGAACTGTCCACACTATCCCATCCAAACCTTCTCCCTGCTTTCCAGGCAGCCAGACTGCTACTCATATGTGAAAGGACCAGGTCCCAACACTCAACAGGAATTTACACCTCCAACAGCAGACCCTTGTAGACCACCACGGGAAACGGCCACAGGAACAGTCACAGCAAGGCCTGAGTGCACGGGAGGCTCCATGCTAAGAGGCACGCACAGCTCATGTCACTATCAGTACACTCCTAGGAGTGCTTTGCACTTTCTCCATTTTATAAAGGAAGAAACTGAGGCTTACAGAAGTTAAAGAACTCGCTCCGGGTCACACAGCCATGAGAAGCCAGGGGTCAAGTGTGACACAGGCCTGCCTGGCGGACAGCATGACCTTCAGATGATTGTCGCTAATGAGAAATTGCAGCTTTGTTAGCAGGTCAGTAATTCACACGAACATTCCGCAGGGCTTCAACTGAAAAGACACTTGAAGATGCTAGGACTCCCCATAAATGTCTCCTATTTGTCAAAGTCAGATTTACAATTCTTCTCTCCCATTTCTACCAAAAATAGCCAAACATTTCCAAAATGCATCTAAACCACATTCTAGGGATCCCACCGGATCTAGGACCTCGCCTTGGTATTCAGAGAGCCGTCTGGCTCCTGTTCCCTTTGTGATCACAGCACATGACTTCAGAGAGGGAGAAGAAGCTGCTGTCTCAACAGGCTGTGCACTGCAGGTCACTAACCCAACCAGACATAAGACCCACATCATACTCTCTCTATAATACTCCCTTGTTAGAGAGACAGACAGATAGACAGACATAGAAAACAAGCAAAACACTGGGAAATGAAAGATCCAAAGTAATCTGTAACCAAACCAGCCCGGGACTGCACATATGAAATAAACTCCTCCTAAGCCCCCACCCATTATCTGGGCCTGGCAGAATGGGCTCACTCTCCTTACTTATCTCTCCTTGTGCCCTCCACAGTGCGCTACACCCACTGCATGTGGACATCCTTATCAGAAAATAGCCACTTAACAAGCGTTTGCCTTTGAACAGAAGTCGCTATTTAGCCCGCCAAATGTCGATAACTCTGTGCATGCCTATTGGTACATAAATTACGAACACACACATAAAGCTCACAAATACAGAGCGGGCACTGGCTGCAGGGCACGAGGAGTGTGTGCCTCTGGGAACTGCCAACCTATTTACAAGCCGTAGTCTTGGCCCTTCAACTAAAACACCTGCCACTCCCCTCTCCTCTCTGTCAACTAGAAAACGAGAACAAAACTCGCTGCTCTGTGAAAGAAAATTCATTTATTCTGAGCATTGTGCTCTCAAATGTAAGTTTTTACCAAACTGTAAAACTGTAGAGATGAAAATGAAAAGGTTGTCCTGTAGGCCCTTTGTAAGCCTAGGACAACAGCAGGATAGCCTACTTTACAAGCTTACCAAGATGTAACAGTCTTTGACAGTATGAACTTGTCATTTCCCAGGGATCAGGGTGTCCCCACACGTATAGTTCATCTACTCTCTTTATTTTTGAGTCAAATTATTTTGACTCTTTTTAAAGTGTATCATTTTGGTTTTTAATATGTGTGTATTGCTTGTTAAGTATATTTTGTGGCCAAGCATTTTGGATCAATATTGATTTTTTTTTTAAATACACTGTACTGTGCCTTTTATGCACAAAGGAGGGAGATCATGAAGCGGAGATAAAATTGTAATGGCGTCATGGTGTTTAAGAGGTTGAAACTACCACTGTAAAGCACTGTTGCAACCACAGTCTGCAGCCCCGAGGGAAACACTAGATGCTCCGTTCCTGTATCACCTGCTGTGATCAGAATGAAAGCAGAGAGCTGTTACTCCTGACTTGTGGTGAGTAACTTGATTATAATGCACTAGGAAGACTGGAATCCCCTTCTCCCCACACAGAGAAGTCTGATCTCAACAACAGAACAAAACCTACATGGTAATTAGAACCCTGCCCCAGGAGTGGAGTGGGGAGTGGACCTCATTCTCCTTAAACCCTTGGAAGGGTCAGGAAACATTAGGGGTGGGAGAGGGGGAGTTGTAAAGCCCCTCAAAGCTGGGTGTATGTATTACAAAGGCTGTGTGTACAAGGGCTAGTGGGCCTCACACTTTGCAGAGCATGTTTGGCTCAAGGGGTCCGTCTAGACAATACACAGCTGCAGAAAGCACAGAGGGGGTGGGGACTCTGCAAGGGCAGCTGAAGGCACAGGTTGTATTTGTAGCTGGATGAAAGCACAAGGCAGATAATTGTGTGCACCTGTGTTGTGGCAGCTGATTAATTCAATTAATATTTACTGAGCACCTGCAGGGCTCATGGCCGAATACTGTGGGGAAAGAAAGACAGTGTCTCCTGCCTTCCAGGAACTCACAATCTCATTACAGTACAACAATGACAGGGAGATGATCTAACGGAGTATACTCAGGTAGAACCATTTACAGGCATGGCTTGTTTAATAAACTGGGTCTAAACATACCTCAGAAATGGCTTTTGTCTCACTGATCCTCCACATTCTTGGAGGCTGACAGCAAGAAAGAAGTTAATTCAACAATCAGATTCCAATCTGCTCTAGGGTTGTGCTGATAAGGTGAAAGGGTCAGCAAGAGCTCTGGCCACGGCCTCAGAGCTGAGAAACTGTCTGGAGAGAGAAGCACTGGCCCAAAGCATGGTTGTCAAATCTAGGGTGGTCTTCGGCCAGCCCACTGGGCTCTCAGGAACCAATCACCCACCAGTAGTGCCTCCACCCTCATGTTTCTTAACAGCTCTAAAAGCCACCAGCTATGTGTAGAATCACCTCTGGGTGTGATTTCCCAAATCTTTCACAAGCTTTGCTGCCTCAAGCATAGCCAGTTTTTGGACAGTCATCCAGTCCTCAAGGCTCCAGAAAATTAAAATAGAATTTCACTAGGAGACAGTGATCCAACAAGCCTGTAAGAGCCCAGCTTGGCTGCTGGTCCTCTCTCCTAAAAAACATCAAAGCCCAAGATCCTGGCCACATGAGAAAGTGTGTGTGTTCCATTCACATGAAGGAGAATGGGCAGAACATACCTGCAGACAGCCCTCTTCCAAGTGCAGTACAGGGTCTTGCTAAGAGGACACTAATGTGGGCGTGTAGGGGAGACTTTTCCAACCTGTGTCCAATGGGCACCGAGGGATGGGTGGCTGAGTACAGGGAAAAGCCTATTCATCTCTCCTTCAGATACCTTGCCAGGTTGGCTCTAGTTCCATCAAGCCTCACGGGTTTTGAATCAGAACATTAACTCGGAAGTGAAAATGCAGGGCTGGGAGAAACCACCAAACCCTTAAGTCAAAACAGCACGCAGGGCTCAAGAGAGTCTGTGATGAGAACATTTTCTTTCCTGAGACAAGGAGCCAGCTTGGGGGAAATGCTGACCTGTTATATTCCCTTCTTTTCCTCACCAGATTCTAAACCACTTGAAACTCACTACAGAGTTCATGCCTGCCAGGGCATCCCACCCTCTGCTGTCACTGCAGCCAGCAGGACCAGCTCTTGAAAAGGGGCGCACCTTGTTTCCGCTGAGCATCCTCTCGGGTGAAGACAAAGGCAGGCACACTTCTGCTTCCTCTACAGTCTCCGGCAGGTGATCACACGCGTGCTCTCCCTGGAAAGTGCTTTCATTCCTCTCATCTGCGTTTTCATATTTATATTGATCATGATATTTAAGGCCACCCTTCAATATCTTCTGAGAACTGAGGCAGCCATGACCTTTTCTGATAATCTCTTCTGGTGACTCATTATATCACATTTAAAAATGTTTCGCTTTCGCCCGGCCGGTTTGGCTCAGCGGTTGGAGTGTCGGCCTGTGGACCAGAGAGTCCCGGGTTTGGTTCCCGCTAGGGGCACATACAAAAATAAATAAATAAATAAATAAATTTAAAAATGTTTCACTTTCGCCTGGCTGGTGTGGCTCAGTGGTTGAGCATCGACCCATGCACCAAGAGGTCACCGGTTCGATTCCTGGTCAGGGCACATGCCCAGGGCACATGCCCAGGTTGTGGGCCAAATCCCCAGTGGGGGCTGCAGGAGGCGGCCAATCAATGTTCTCTCTCATCAATGTTTCCATCTTTCTCCTCCTCTCCCTTCCTCTGTCTCCCTAATATATTAATAAAGGGAAAAAATTTTTTTAATAAAAATGTTTCACTTTCAATCTTTTTTTCCCCAGTAGAATAAAATGTTTTAATTTGCTTAGAGCTAAATTTAGATTGTAAAATCTTAATTTAGGTGATGCATTCTTTTTTTTTTTTTTTATCCTCACCCGAGGACATTTTTCCATTTTTTGTTCAGGTAGAGTGGGAGGGAGAGAGAGGAACAGAGAGAGAGAGAGAGAAACATCGATGTGAAAGGAACACATCGAGTGGCTGCCACCCGTACGACCGACCAGGGCCGGGGACAAACTGCAACCGAGGTATGTGCCCTTAGCGGGAACCGAACCCGGGTCTCTCTAGACCACAGGCCAATGCTCTAACCGCTGAGCCAAACCGGCCAGGGCTAGGTGATGCATTCTTATGTGTTCATTTTATTTTGATTTAAAAACAATTTCTGTATTCCATATAATTTTATATGTATCAAGTATTCTGTTTATTTTTTATTTTATTTATTTATTTTAGTTACAGATGTTTCTCCTTTTTCCCCCATTGACAACCTCCTCTCCCTCCCTCCCGGCCCTGTCCCCAGCTTTGTTGTCCATGTCCACTGGTTATGCGTACATGCATATAAGTTCTGTGGTTTATTCCCCCCTACCCCTTCTTCTGGGGATTGTCAGTCTGTACCCTACTTCCACGTCTCTGGGACTACTCTGTTCTTCAGACTGTTATGTTCATTATATTCCACAAATAAGTGAGATCATGTGATACTTGTCTTTCTCTGCTTGGCTTGTTTCGCTTAGGATAATACTCTCCAGGTCCCTCCATGTCGTCTCAAAGGATAAGAGATCTTTCTTTCTTACAGCTGCATAGTACTCCATTGTGTATATGTACCACTGCTTTTCTTTTACGGCACTTAAATCTACTTTTTAAAAAATAACAACTAAATGATGGTCCCTCCTGTTTTGCCTTCAATACAAAGATAGAGATCTGATTATGAGCACAAACTTAAAGAAGTCACACTCACTCCCTCTTACTTTTTAATATCACCATCATATATACCTTCACTGCCAGCCCTTTATTGTGGATCCTTTTAAAACCACATTCACTTTCTTTGCCTCCAATTCCCCTAATTTCTCTCTAACTTGGAGCTCCCAAAGAGACTCAACCCTGGGTAAAGAGCTGGCCAGATGTTGAGAGACGACCTCGTTGCTCCTCTCCTGTTAATGACAACATTGTCAATATTGTTAGTACATCACTTAGTCATTTCCAGCTCATGGTTTAAATAGGTAGTTAAGATTATGGCACAGTGAACCTTCTCAATTTACATCAGTATGTTAATAAGTCAATTGTGCGTATTACAGTTACAAATTACAAAACTGCAAGACACCTCCACAAATTAGCCAGTTTGTCTCACAAATTAGCCACTCGCCACCAACATGCACAGAGTCCAACTGTTTTCACTTTATTTACTACTTTCTAACCTATGAGGCCTCAAGGCAGCTTTTGGTTTAATTATGGCTTATAGGGAAATTCAACATTTTTTAAAATGCATTTTGAAATTAGAAAATGGAAAAATAAATAAGAAGGCTAGTTGTAAAATAGCCTCATAAAACTCATGACTTATGTCATCATGTTTATGTTAAGTTTTTAAAAATTAATTAACTTTTAATGAGCACCTACCTACTGTGTCCATGCACCATGCTAGCCACTGTGGAAGATACATCCCTACACTCACAGAACTTTCAGTCTAGTTTAAAATACATCATATGGATCTTAAACCCTTATCTGCAATTCTGAAATTCAAAAGCTCTGAAAGCATAAAGATATTTGTAATTCATCTGGTGACAAAGTCGGCCCTGAACTGTTAGGCTAAATGTATAGTCTCCTTGATCCTCCTTCATGTGAATATAAATTTTGCGGCAAAAGTGATAACATGTTTGATTATAGGATGCTGCCCCAAACACTTTATAATGTTTCTAAATCTAAAAAATTCTAAATTCCAATAAATAAATAAATAAATAAATAATTCTAAATTCCAAACACATATTTCCTAGTGGCATCAAATAAGTTGACCTTGGTCCTGAAAACTGACACACACACAATCTAAAACAACACAAGCCAAAGTTCCTCCATCCTCTGAGTGAGGGACTAGGCAGAGAGGGTTAGCCCCGTTACTCTCCCAGTTTGCAATACCTTTAAAATTCTGCTAAGTGACAAATGTGTGTCAAGCAATATTTAAATTAACTTAGTCCCTTGAAGAAAGACAGGGACAATGGCAACAATCTATTTGGAACTGTTGGCCCCATTTTATGGAAACTTACTTAGACCTTGAAGCTGACTCAGTACGGACGAAGCAATACTGCGTCTGCTCTCTGAAAGCAGAACTGAATGGAATCTTGGTCAGGTCAGTCCCCAGCTCCACCGCCGGGGGTTCCCAACTCAGTCACTAAGATTCGAGCCATTCCTAGTTTAAGTCACCTTCAGAGTAAAGTAGGACATTTGCTGTCTTCATGAACTAAAACTCACCTTTGCTACCACTGTAATCAGGAGGCCTGGGAGAGGGGCTATGTGGTCAGTGACCTCTCACTCACCTGCAGCAGTAAGGAGACACCCCTGAGTCCCAGAGTGACCACTGATGCCAGTTCACAGATCCCCTCAGGCCACAAGGGCTTTACCAACTGAAGAACAAAGCTTAGCATAACCTGGGGTCTTGGGAGCATCCCCACTGCACATGGCAGGGCCCGACGCTACGGGTGGGTTGTTAGTCTAGACCAGGAGACATCAAATGACAGCCTGTTTCTGTACAGCCCAAGAGCTAAGAGTAGATTCTACTTTTTTTTTTTTTTTTATCCTCACCCGAGGACATTTTTCCATTTTTGTTCAGGTAGAGTGGGAGGGGGAGAGAGGAAGAGAAAGAGAAAAACATTGACGTGAAAGGGACACATCGAGTGGTTGCCTCCCGCACTACCCCAACCGGGGCCGGAGACAAACTGCAACTGAGGTTCACACCCCTAGTGGAAACCGAACCCAGGTCTCTCTGGACCGCAGGCCGATACTCTAACCGCTGAGCCAAACCGGCCAGGGCAGATTCCACATTTTTAAAGGATTGTAAAACAAACGAGAATATGGGACAGTGATTGTACGTGTCCTACAATGTCAAGAATATTTACAGAAAAGTTTTGCTATTTTCAGAAAAAGTCTGCCAACTCCCGCTTTCTCACCAGTGAAGAAGGCAGGGAGAAGGATTTCAGGTTTGAATGTCCACTGAACATCACACTCCACGTCTGATCGCCCATGGTGGCAGGATAGGGCCTGCCCAGGTCACGTCCACGGACACCTGTGGATGGTCTCTTCGGAAGCCCACCCTGGACCTCTCCGGCAGGATTTCAGATCTAATGGATTCAACCTCAGATTTATTTTAAAAACAGCCCACTTTTTCTTACAGTACATTTCCCCCCATCACACCAATACAGGCACGTCGGCAAACAAACACGCCAGGTTCCCCTCCAGGGCCCAGCAGCCCGAGTACAGCACTCACGCCCCCTCCCCAGTCAAGGTCTCGGTTGTCGGGAGCAGCCACACAGGTGGAACACCAGCACTTCACCTTGTCTTCTCATTCGTTAGGTCACCTGTCTGTGTGAAAACTGAGGGAAATGGAGGTGTTTTAGGGGGACCCCTGCCACCCCTTCTCAAGGGCTGCCTTTCTCCATGATGGCACAGTTCTTTCTGCTCAGGTTCCTCCTTTCCTTCTCCTGTCTAACTCTGTTCTGAGGGACCAATGACCGGAGGTTAACGTGTTGCTACCCTCATTCAACAGGGTGGCAGTGTGAGGACCAGATGAGTGAATGTGGTCTGTGAGACGTCGGAGAGAGAAATATTAAACACGGGACTAAGCTGCCCTGATCTGTTCATCTTTCTATCTACATGTTATATTCTTCATGACCCCGACACACTTCCCATAAATGTCCTGAGAGACCCTACTGAATGTGGCTCCATCTCCCTTCCCCAGAGAAGCTCAGCTCTGGACTCTCTACGTCAGTTATGTCTCAGCTGGTCTTGTAGAATTTCCACCAGCTGGGCCAGGCCCAGAAGCCACATGGATGAGAGGAGACCTCCTCAGATTACCCCCATCCCATCCTCCAGGATGCTGGGAGACTCAATCCCTGCTCCAGGCCAAGGCCTTGCCCTTCATTGGGGGGAAAACTGAGAGATGCGGTATTATTTCCTGGTGAACAAAATAACAGCGCTCTCTCACCCCAGAAACTTCCCTACAAACGAGTGCTCTGTGCGCAGAGAGGCTGGCGGAGAAGGGCCGCCGGAGAAGGGCCGCCGATCCCCTCTGATGGGCCTGGCTCCGTGATCATCCCTTTCAGGAAGTGGCACCCGGATGAGATCATCCTTGGGGCCCTTGCCCTTAACTTTCGG